ACGTGGTGGGCAGCAGAGGAAGACGCATTCGTATCAGGTGCTGTCACACAGGGGCAGCGGACGGTCGAAGACAACGAAAGCTGCGGAAGAGAAGGAGGATCGACGGGGTTCCCGACGAGTATAGAAGAAGGCTCGTGTGCGATCCGAGAAGCCGCCCGGCTGACAACACCAGGAGAGTCTTGGCGAATAGCAGAAGACGAGGTTCTTGTTCCTTCTGTAACCCGAGACGACGAGGTGAGCAGGGATGAACCGCTCGACGTCTTACCTCCCTGTCGCCCACACCACAAAGGTACTGCCGAAATGGGTCTGTCATGTCCATTACCAGCAGGCAATGAGGCGGACGACGAGGAGGCGGGCCGAAAAACTAGATGTGATTTAGGAGCGTGGGGAGTATCCAAAGAAATTGGCTGTACACGAACATCTTGGGAGACTCCAAAAGGGTGCACGGTGGTTGCTGTTGACGGTAGTACCGGCTGAACTCCGCTGTCGGCTTGTCATTTCTTACCCCTCCAGCCCCTTTTAGCCGAAGTGGAAGCGTCCGACGAAAGCTCTGTGTGTGAGGACTGTTTCGTGTCCGATGCGTCCGATGAGCGGCGGGCGCGTCCTAAGGGGTGATTTCGATGTGGGTTGCGTCCTGTTGGGCGTCTATACGAGGTCATGCGTTNGAACAATGGCGGACCATTCTTGGTTAGAGCCATCTCACTAGCGACGTTGTACACCTCTTGGAAGTGTCCTTGCAACGGCCAGTCGCTGTAGTGCAACAGAAAAGGGTCCCGATCATCATAAGGTAGAGGGTCAACACTCATCACGGCGGCCGAAGAACCTTGGCTCCACGAAGGGGTCAATGTTGAACGCAACGCCGAAGAAGCTACAGCACGCGAACAGCAGACGAACTCATAGCATTCGTGGAAGATACCGAAAAGAAATCATCTCCATGCACCGCCGGCGTGTGCGCGAACGCACGATTGTCCAACACATCCCACATATCATCCAGACACGAAGCATGTCGCCCAAAAGGGGCTTCCATGGAGAGCTGCTCATCCTTGTACACCTGCCCAGACACTACCGGAAACTGCTTCAACATGGAGTCTCGAACAGCTATCTGCACTTGCGCATCCGAAGGCTTGAACGCGTGTTGGGAAACCATGACGGTCATGGCCAGAGCCTTATAGCGACGAATGTATTCTCCCTAAGTCTCGCCGTTGGATACGCCAAAACTGCGAAGACGATCAATCCCCGAGCTCTTGTCTTGAGTGTCCCAGGCGGCCGCCAATTTCTGGATGAAGAAGGCGTACGTCGAGGGCCCTGCCGGTTCCTTGCGCAGATGGTTTTCTACCTGTAGAACGGTCGCATCAAGAAATTCCAGAGTGGCACGGTTGGTGGTTTGGCCGTCAACGACAGCAGCACGGACACGTTTGCGCAACAACGGAAGCCATCCGGTGACCCAGGTGGAGGAATTGATAGTCTGCTTGCGCTTGACGCCGCTTTTGTTGAGGATCTCTGTGACCACACCCTTGCAGCTAGACGCGAAGCGAGCAAATTCATCAGGATCAGGACCGAGGGGCAAGCGTGTGACACTATCAAGTTGTTCCCGCTTCTGCTTGTCCATTTTGTCTTGAATGCGGATGGTGTCGGCCTCCGCTGCAGCGGCGTCCGCAGCGTGCAGAGCCTCCTGCCTCGCTCTCGCTCCCGTGGAAGACAAAGGCCAACCAGCATCGTCCTGTGGCACCGGTGATGCCGCTTGACTCGGTGGCTCGACGATGTGGCCGGTTGAAGAGTCAGGATCAATCAGAACAGACGCACGCTGGAGGGTGGGGGGCGATACCACCAAAGGCTGTTGCAACAGGGCTGGGGCTGTCGACGCTGACTGTGCTACCGCAGGCTCGACCGGTTCTGTCGCCGACCTCGTGGCCGATGACGATGATCCTGGCGTGGTCCTGGCAGCGTTTTCGGCACGAACATCGCGTCCCACAGGAGCTCCCGAAAAGCTCGAAGCGTGGTCTTGCATCGGTGTCGGACGCGTTGGTGGGGAAGAAGAATGTAACGATATTTGAACATAACACAACAACACTACTCCAGGAATTGCTCAACAAAGAAACGGGACACTAACCAATAAAGGAAAAGATAATCGCACGCAGGCTAATCTACCAAAAATTCATTCGTATCTACTCGATTCCAAATACCCAACTCCACTTTCTTCCAGTATGAATTCCGCACCATAGGTGCATTTACACCCACGATGTTTGCAGTCACTGGCGAGGTACGAAAAAAGGTATACATGAAATTGTGTAAAGTATTACGTATAAGTCGACTAGAATAGAAACGTGCAAGCATGTCAGCTATCAATCTGGCTGTGGCAGCTTGGAAAAATCGAATGTCAGTACATCTAATAGCAAATCGGCATGTTTGACAGTGTAACGTCGACATCTTACACCTAGTAGATAAAAATTTGGAAGACCACCAGCTGCAGCACGTATAAAATGAGCCGTTCGGTTCCAAATATTTGGCGCCAAAATTTTAGAAATTTTGACCCAAAATTCGGAATGTATGAAACGGCTTTACGTACACGACCAAAAAACTGCCGAAATCGAGTGCATGCAGGAATCAAGGCGCCAGCACATACAGCCAGCGTCGCAGTGCTGTGTAGGAGTACTGTACTGCTGTACAGCAGTACTGCTGTAGACTAGTCCGCACCGAGCTGCGGCAACAACTCCTCTTCGCCACTAGGGGCCGGGATGAGGGCGCTACCGTGAGCCCCTGCCATGGCGAGGTCTTTGGTTCCTTTTGCCACGGCACGCTCGAACAGACGGCTTAGTCGCGCCCGCTAGCGGTCAGCTCTGTCACATACACCGGTCGCCCCGGTGGTCTAGTGCGTAGCCTCGCAGCCTGCTAAGGGCCAGTCATGGGTTCGAGTCCCGACAGAGTGAGTTTTTTCTCGCTTATTGCATGCCGGTCTCCGTTGGAAGCGACGCGCTGCAGAGCTCGTTGTTAGTAGACTATACTTGATCGACTTCATAAGTCGCGAGGGAAGGGATTGCTGTACTCTTCTCGCGATAAAATATCTCAGGCAGGAACCGCAGGAGGGGGTCCAACCCCCCCCTCCTATGTGACCCCGGTTGGGTCGTCTAGCTGGTAGAAGTGGAGGATAGGGGCCAGAGGGGCAGACGACATAGTCCGATGGTGGGAGAAAAACAAACACCCAAAATACTTGGATGTTGCTTCTCTGGCGATCATGTTAAGAAACCAACGTCCCCAAGACAAAGCCACCAAACATGTTTCAGATCACTTTATCCCCATGGGTGCACAAAGTGGCGACAGCTATCCTCTCGCGGTGTGAGCGCGTGACGTTGTGTGCGTGTGTCGTGTGTGCGGATGCATGTGTCGTGGACAGGATACCGGTATCCAAAACACTGCGGAAAAAGATGAAGGCGGGGCTCCGTGCATCGTTACAGGCACAAAATGCACGTACCCTCATTTCCTGCGGTGCTTTGCTGCCCAACCAACAAGGGCACAGCTTTCGTGCAGCTCCTGCTCTATCCACACAACCAACAACATGAGACGAGGACCGCGAAGAGCCGTGCGTGCTCCCCTCTTTGCGCTCTCGCTAGCTCTGCATGCCAATGCTACCTCATCATTATTGCACCACCTACTGGCAATGCCAGTGGGAGATGCGATTTCAAGGCATCACGCAACGGCGACCGCAGCTGCGGCAGGAACGGCGGCAGCAAGAAGAAGGAGAGCACGGCCACGGCCTGTGTGGCACTTCAACGGCAACGTTTCTCCATCAGCGCGCGGGCATTCCGGTAGATCTCCAAGATGCGGCGTTAGAAGCGGTCCGGAGGTAGCAGCTGCAGCAGCGACTGACGGCGAAAATGAAGGGCCGGATGCTGCTGCTGCCGATGGCCGCAACGTACGAGCGCGTCCTGCGATGGCGGACCCCCCACCTCTGACCCACGACCAGCTTCCCGAGGAGAGCATTTATCTGCTTGATGGGACGTCGATGCTGTTCAGGGCGTTCTACGGCCGCGGAGCCGGCGGGTGAGTCCTGCCGGCCAAGTATGACACTGCGCAGTGCGGAGTTTCTGGACGGATGCGGCGTGCCCCCCTTGTCCAATTGATCTGCACATGATTTCACATGATGCGATGTACGGAACAAACCATGGTATTGCAGGCCCTTGCTATCACCGGTGGAGACACCGCACTTATGTGCGTATGTTTGTGTTATTGTGGGTAAACGACGTGCAAACCGTTGGAGATGGGTTGTGTAACATGTGCATATTTTGTAGGGTGTAATCCAGAAGAGCAGAGTACTATAGTGTTACGTATCATAGCAGTAGCGGTGGGACAACCGCCGTACTGTACCTCAAATTCCTCTGTTCCTTTGGGAGATTGTCACTCTCCATATCCCCTCCCTTCTGACAGGTACTTGGCCTCCAACGGCGCAACGGAGGTAGGCGCCGTGCTGGCCATGGGGATAGAGTTCGCGCAGTTCATCAATGAGGTGAGCACAGCTCTAGCGCTGTTGTGTGCATAGCTCCGTTGAGCCTCCAATTGCCCTCGCCGAACTAAAGGTGGCTACATATTAATATGCATAAACGCACGGGTTTCCTCCCGGTATTGCGCACCGCGGAAAAGGTGACAGCAGCACTTTCCCCTGCTGTGCGCAAAGTAGGAGCATGTGTGAACTACAATTGCTGGTGATTGTTGCGCTGTAAATTCGAGAAAATCAGAATCGCGTCGGGGCAGGTGTTTGGAGGATCGCCTCACTATGCTTGGCGATGTTGCGCGCAGCGTGTGGCATGCAGTGCTTCGTGTATGGAACCCTCGTCTCCTGAGAGAGTGGTGGTCCACACGGGTTGGTGACTACACCAATCACCAGAGTTGTGGAGTTTCCTTCCTTCCTGTGCGGCGAGGAATGCCAAGTTGGACCGAACGAGCTCAGTCGAACTAGGTTGAGGGAGGTTGGACGCAGCCGTCGTGGACTCGTCTCTCCCAACCTCGGGAGTATGCGTCATGAACTGGTCGCAGCTGTTGAGGATTGTGAGAGGAATGGTTCGCGGGATGGGGATCTCTCCGCACCGATCCCAGAATCCGCCGCTCCTCCTGCTCATCTCTGCCAGTGCGGGGTTCGGTCTCGTCGCTTATGTCGCTGTCCCCTTCATGAACGGTTTCGTCACTAGTGCTGATCTCAGAGCCGCTGCTGCCCGTTATTTCGGACTTGCGATCACGTGCGCTTCGTATTGCATGTCGCGGCAGGTAAAGCCACGATATGTCGCCATGGCCTTCGACGTGGGGCGAGAAACAACCTTCCGACGAAAGCTGTACCCGCAGTACAAGGCACAAAGAAAGCCTGTACCGTTGGACTTGACATTACAGGTGATAATACCGTACGCCTTGTTGTGGGCAGAATGCGCTGCTAGAAGAGCGACGCCAGAATACACACCATTGCAAGGTCCGTGGGGGGCAAGTTTGGGAAGAATGCTTGTCCATGCACACTCGCCACGCAACTCATACCCGCACGGATTGATTGTTTCACCTATATGACAAATTTGGGCCTACGCTCTTGCGGTTTTCGCGGAAAAGGCCGAGCGTTCCTTCCTTGATGGTACGAGATACCGTTGACGTTCACGCAGCCACGCCGACGTCCATCAACGACAACACGGCACGCCTCGCCCTTCCCTCACGTCGCCCTCGCAGATTCCGCTCGCGAAGGCGCTTTCGGAGGCCCTGGGGTGCCGTACGTTCGAGATGGAGGGCTACGAGGCCGACGATGTCATGGCCACGCTTGCCCGGTAAGACGCCCCGGCGGGGGCTTGGCGTGCTTGGTTCATGACGAGATGGGACGGTGTATTTGTTTGATCGGTTAAGTAGTTGCATATTCGGTCTCGGCGATCAGGGCTTTGTTTTTTCTTGCTGGGGTTAGAAGGTGTGGATGCTTTGTGTGGTCGGTTGTTTGACTACGCGCACGTGCCGCTGGTCGGTTGCTGTTACTGCCGCTGCTGCTGCTGCTGCTGCTGCTGCTGCTGCTGCTGCTGCCGCTGTAATAGTGTTACTTTTTTGCCGGACGAGAGCCGGAGATTGATCCCAACATGCCTGCAAATAACCAGTGTCTAAATGCGCCTCACGTTGCGTTGTTTCATTGCTGCGTTGTTTTTGGGCGTGGCGCATTCTCCAGGTGGGGGCGCTCAGTGGGACTGGGAGTGGTGGTGTGCTCCTCTGACAAAGACATGTGCCAGCTTGTCAGAGATCGTGTCCACGTCATGCAACCAAGGAGGTGAGGTGCCGAGGCAGGATTTGATCAATGGTGATGCTTGAGTTGAGGAGTAAGGTATTCCTCGAACGGTCTAGTGCTGCCACCGTCACAGTTGCGTGCGATAGTGCAGTTTTGAGCTGTGGGGAGCAGCAGTACAGAGCATCCTCCGTTTGCGCTGACGGATTGTCAACGTTTTTCTCAACTCCTTTTTTACCCTGTTGGGGACTGCGCACTGACTCTGTAAAGCCAAGAGCAGCATGCCTTTCAACCGGTAAGTGACCTGTAGGCAATTGATATGTGTTTTTCTCTCTCATGTTGTTACCTGTGGTCGCATCACCTGCATATGTCTGCCCATTGCGAAGAGTAACATCTAGCGGAAAGTGGCCGCTACATTTTCATAAGAATTCATTTACGGGTAGACACGTTGTCGACGACTTGCCGACAGTTTCAGGCTCAGGCTTCGAGGACCTACGCTTGATCCCTCACAATCCCCCACTTTCGGCGACAGGACCTCCTACCGACAGCTCGTGGCCTATCCCAGTAGAAGCAGGCGCCCCCCACAAAACTCGAGGCCCTTCGAGAATCGTTGCGAATGTGTTTACAGGCCGGGTGATTTTTCAGGTGTACTCGAAACCTTTGAACGCAGTCAGGAGTGACGCCGCGTTGTCCGGTAATAAATGTAGATTGTGTGTGTATTATTCACCGCTCGGCGTGAAATACCGACCCCCTTTTCTCTTTGGCTCGTCGAAACTTACCCTTTTTGCACAACCGGTAACCCCTTAGTCTGTGGTCTTGCCAGGGACGGTTACACCATTCTGGGCAGCGATGAGGTCTTGGCGAAGTTCGGGGTACAGCCGTCAGCACTCCCTGACCTGTTCGGCCTGATCGGTGATGTGGCCGACAACATCCCTGGTGCGACGGCGGTAGCGGTGTTGGACGTTATTTGCGCGGGTTGCCGTAAAGTTAGCTTATTGGAGAACGCCGTGACGCGAGCGAAAGTGTTGCGCGGTTGCTCTCGCAGAAACAAACACGCGTTGGTGATCGGAAATTGCGTCGCGTCCCATGTCGAGCTCTGTCTGATGGAGTGTCACGGACAACAGCAGTTTGTTGGCGACATCTTGGCGAACATGACAGCAGGTGGCACTACATATGTAGTCGTGTGGCGGTTTTTAAGGTGCATACGATTGCTGCTGCGTGGTTTCTCGATGCGATTTCTTGTCCGGACTGCGAAGTGGCGTGGACTTTTCTGGAATTGAAATAAATGAACGCTTTTAGCCTCTACGTTAGCTTCAAAACACGCAGTGAGAATGAATGAATACGGCGACATGTTTCCGAAATGGAGGAGGAATACATGGTTCAGAGAACCAATGTGCGTGGTTAGTGGACGCTCAACTCCGTCTGTCATGCTTGGAAGCAAAGGTTGAGTATTTCTACCGATGTTGCCTTTTTGCCCCGAGGCAGGTGTGAAGGGCATCGGGCCTAAGGGCGGGTCTCGACTGCTCGAAAAGTTCGAGACCCTTGAAGGCGTGTTTGCGGGCTTGGATGGCGTCGGCAGCATGGGGATCCGGGGCTCCAAGGGGTTGCAGACTTTGCTGAGGTGCGCCGCTGCTTCGTTGCAGATCGGAAATGGTATTCTCCTGCAGCGCTGGATTTGGTATGAGAGCGACGGGACGAGCTGCAGCAGGAAGCACACACAGCACACGTCGTACGAATTCCCTTATCTAGCAGTCCAAAGTTTTCGTTTGATGAGAGTTAGTTTGTGAGAGTCTGTTTGTCCACGATTGAGTTTTTTTTCGGGTCTCGCTATGGAATTGTTTCTTGCTCACAACAAAGGAGTTCTGCTTCCCACGGGCTCGTGAACAGCCCTATCCTAACCTACAACTATCCAGGAATCGTACAGGGCGGTCTGCTGTTGTAGGTTTGGACGTTCACTTCGTGACCCAGATTTATGTTTTGCAACGCGCACCTGGATTGGTACCCTGGTCGGCTACTAAAACTACTGCTACCGGCGGAAGGGTCTCTTGTATGAGGGTGTCGTGGGCAACGTTTGGTCCCCTTTGCGCACCACTTGATCCTTCGCTCTTACCTATAGCCTCCCGTTCCGCCCCTTGTCCGCTCTCTCCTCGCCTTGTTTTTGCTTGGGGATTTTGCGTCGCCTTTCCGTGGTTGTTGCATCGGTCTTGTTGGTTCCCCAGTCAACCCGGTATCCAAGAAGAGGCGATGCTGTACCGGGAAATCGCCACGCTGGACGATGAGGTGCGATTGGGCTGATGACGATCTGTATCACAGTCATCCGTCACAGTTTGTCTAAAGTAGCACGAACATGGGTGAAGTCGGCTGAGTTGTCTCTGATACAGGGGTTGGTCGCGACTATGAGCGGAATAGTGTTGTTCACTGCCCGATGCCGCCGCTCTTGCCACGAACATGACTTGTGATGATGTTGCACGGCCGTCCACCTAACGACGTAATGTGTCTTGCCTCACGAAATCGTCCACCTAACGCCGCAATGTGTATTGCCTCACGAAATCGGCTGCTGCTTGTGGCCATGACAAGCTTGGCCTCTTCCTGACCTCCGCCAGATCACACATGGAGCGATCTCACAGAAGAAAACTGCCGAAAATTCCAGACGTAAGACTTGCCTTGATGTTTGTGGTCATGTGCGCTCAAAGCTTGAAGACCCCGATTATTTTGGCATTTCGCGGAGGATATTAGTTTCACCGCACGCCACTGGACGCTATTTGGCGCTTGTCGAGCTTTTAGAAAGATTAAATAATCTCACATGAAGACTACCCGTTCGAGACGTAACCCCAGTCGAAAGGGATGTGCTGAAGTCTCGTCTGTGAGTGTGAGCGGAGGGGAACCGTTGGCTGAGTTTTTTTTGTGCTGACGCAAGTTGTCGACCAGCCACGCATGGAGCGAGAACAAGTGGTAGACCTGCCACACAAACCTCACATTGAATCTACTCGTTTGTTTTGGCTAGGCCGCATGAACTATACACACGGGACGAAGCGCGGTCTTGTCGCACACCTGCTATCGTTGTACTCATCATCGCACTCCTGCTCCGATCTGACGTCAACGCCCCCGACCCCTCAGGTACCATTGAATGGTATCGACACTATAACGTCGTCGACCTTCCTGTACAGGGGAGCGTCTCCGGAAGCTGAGGGGGTCATGTCAGCCCTGGGGTTCCAAGCGCCGCTAAGAATGATCCAGGAAGGTTCCAAGCGACCCTCCGCGCGGGCTTCGACAGTTTGAGGCGACCACGTGTGGGCAGCGATGGGATAGAAGCAGGCGAAGCACAACGATGTTGTTTCTTGGGAGACCGCATGAAGTTCACGAGGCTTGACAAGAGGTGGTTGGTGCCCAAGCAAAATTGTCTTTGTTATCTCCTAGGGTTGTCAGTGTGTTTCGGTGGAAAGGTATGTGCCGCCCAAGCAAGGTTATTGGTTGTTGGTCCGGTGATCCGTGATGTTGAAACTGTGTTTTCGTTGCCCCCGTCCGCCGGAGAAACACTCCTCGAACCAGCACGAGATACAGCTCATTCAAGAAGCCACCTTTACCCCGGTCGTGAAGTGTACCGTTTGATTTTCTAAGGGGAATTGCGCTAGCGTTCGACTAGTCACAAACTGGAATAGTGTGGCGTGCATTTGAGCTCGCCCCCCCCGCAATCCCCCAAACAATCGATGTATGCAACTGGCGTTTTTACGTCGGGTAGCACAGGTCTGCCCTCTCGCAGGTCGACCTGCTAACGCCGTAAGTGTGGTAGATGTGTCGGCCCGTGGTGCGGGTAGTTTGGTGTGTTTTGGCGTTGTTTTTAATTCGTTTGATAGGGCTGGCAGGGATTGGTAAGGTGGAAGATAGCTTGCCGGCTTGTGTCTCTTTTCTGACACCACCTTTCACCCTGCTGAGCGATGCCATGGAGGTTCTCATTGTTGCGTAGGCGAGAATCGGGCGCAGATGATATTTAGAACCGTGTCGGTGTGCGCAATATTCACCGCGGGGGGAGATAGTAAATTGAATAGCTTTACTGATGTATCAATTGGCGGAAGAATATGCAATTGCGTACAACACGCGGGCGAAAGCGATTAGAAACTATTTGTTCAGGGTTGTCTCTGGATGAGGCACAGACAGCAGGTTGGCTCTGTTGTCTGATCGATTTGTGATTTTGTTTTGCCTGCTCCATCAGCCATGATGAAGCAGGCAAAACAAAATGAGCGTGGGAGAGGAGATGGGCCAGAGAATCGGTGTAACTTGGTGCGTCAAAACCGGCACTCTGAGTAGTGCTTTGCAGATATGCGGGTTCAGCTGTGCCATGGCTCTACTTGTAGTCTTCCTGATCTCGCTCGCATGACCCTCTATGCTTTGACGGGTGGTACGTCCACAGGTGGTGGTCGGCGATGTGTCTGAATCCTACAGACTTGCCTAAATTCTGCAGTTCACAGGCCACAGACACATGCGATGCATTGCTGTAGCTGTCTGTTGTTGTTGTTGTTGTTGTTGTTGTTGCTGCTGCTGCTGCTGTTGTTGTTTTTGGTTTCGATGTTGGTTTCGTTGGTGCCTTCCAAGATCGGTAGTCAAACCGACGCGGGTGTTCACATGAAAAAAACAGAGAAAGGACGAAAGGAACCTGTAAAACCACAGATGTGAAAATCACACAGATGTCCGACCTGCTGTTTACGCAGAGCACATCGCTCGGAGGTCAAGCACCTAAGTACGTCGCTATCTTGTCCCCTATCCGGCCACGGGGATTGCCTAACGCGTTCATACGGTCCGGTATTCGGCACCTGTTCTCCTGCTACACGCGTTCTCCCACCGCTAGTTGTCTTCCGATTGTGCGTAGTATGCCCCGTTCTGCGCTTACCCCTCCCACTCCAGGTACCGTGGTTGTCGTTGACTGAGTGATACATAATAAAACACTGACTGGCATGAGAGAGTTAGTCGTACACGGGCACCGTGCGACACAAGCCGGGGAGGTTACACGTTGTCCCGGACACCCTATGTCGGTTGTTTGCTTTTGAGTACCAGCAACACTTAAAAGCCCCGAAACTAACACCGACATGAAGGAATGTCTCCAAGGATCCTGCTTTGCATGTAGCTGTACCGAACAGACCTTATCAAGTGGCCGCAGACCGGCTGGAAAATTTGAAACCAGTGCAAGTGATCGCGACTTGTTTACCATTAATTCGGTTTACATCAGCGCGACCAACGTTTTTGAAACGATGAACCGAGACATCTTGCGGGAAAAACAAGCAGCCGAGTATGGGAAATACATCGACTATCTTGTGGGAAAAAAATCACGAGTCCCGGACAACGAAACAGCAACAACCATGTCCTATTATTTCTTACGAGACGAATTGCTGTTCAAATCGTATTTGCCAGGTTATCTCGGGAAACGGAGTACGTTCACTGATCAATTAGCATTGCTACAAGCTCTCACGGGCTTGGTTTTACACGCTTACCACGATCACGTTTTGTCCGGAGGTCACCAAGCATCTAGACCGACTTATGACAAGATCCGCCAGAAATATTGGTGGCCAAACACGAGTCGCGACGTTCGCACTTTGTGTCAGGAATACCAAGTATGCCAGCGTCGGAAAACCGCGCACAATCGCACCAAACTGCCAACTGGACACACACGTACCAGTACAACGACCGTTTGAGCGAGTTTCAGTGGTCTTGGTTGAATAGAAGAGCGAATCGGTGTCAGCCGCCGGCGTACGCTGCAAATATGTCCTCTCCATGATGGACCATCTAATCCGATTCACCGTGTTGACTCCGATTCCGAATAAATAAGCTGTCACGGTTGCTCAGGCTATCAATGACCGCATTATAGGCATTTTTGGACCGCGCGAGATGTTGCGTTATGATCAAGGGCCTGAATTTGAGAACAGTGTTATCCACCAGTTATGGAGTATTCTGAACTACAAGAAAACCCGCACGACACCATATTGTCCGCAAGGGAATTCTGCGTCAGAACGACTAGACTACATTCGACGATGCACGCAATTATTGCCATGCATGCATAGTTCAATGAAGTACGATAATTGGGCATCGCTACTACCCTTAAACAACAGGCTCATAACACTTCTTTTAGTGCAACCATGCATGAAACTCCATTTTTTCTCATGTGTGTTTGGTAGACAACCACGACTACATGTCGATATCATTCTCGGTATTCCTCATGTAGGAACAACAGCCAAAACCGAAGAACTTGCGAAAGACTCGCGGGAGAATTTACAAATTGCTTTCGAACTAGCGCGCCGAAACTTAACGGAGTGTACGAACAAGCAAGCGGCTAGTAATTCCAAACTGAGACCGATTCCCGTGTCTAAACCTGGCGATCAAGTACTGGGATACAGAACATATCACGATTCCGATGGCCCAAACCCGAAATTGCTGTTNGATACGCTGTAGCCGGACTACCACTGAGAGGTGGAGCTTGCTGTGTAGCTTGAATTGAAGGGCTAGCCCGTAGCTTCAAGCCGCTACCCTGGTCATCCTGTGGGAGTCTCTCGTTGTGGAGCTACAGCGGGGAGCAGAAGCTACAGCAGAGCCCACCGCCCGACGCGATACCGCCCTGAAACAGTTTGAGCAGAAATAGCCAATCTGGGCAAATCTAGCAACTTGTCTAGCTCCTCGCTGCAGCATCCGATGACGATGACACGCATATGCTCGCGAAGCTGCTGATGAGACCTTCAATTTGCACCGCTTCTTGGAATAGCCCGTCCCCTACTTGCCAAGAAATGGCAAGAGGCGTCTGGACCCGAAATTTCAATTTTTTTGGCTCTCGCTCTCAATCAGATACTTCGCTCTCAATCAGGCGAATATGTTGTTATACGTCGTTTGCTCGCACCCATCACCTGTAGTATACCGTGTGAGACGCCCAAAGAAACTCGACAAGTTTCGGTTCACTTAACCCATATTGAACGATATTTTGCGAGGAAAACACCTCCTCCTGCGCCCGACTTTCTTTGACAAATTCGCTGAGTTTTTTCAGGGCGACTGATTCCGTTACCCGTTGTCGATCACCATGATGAGGCCCAACCAAGAACTGAGTCTTATGTTGTAGACAAAGTGGTAAGCCACAATAATAGTGGTCGGGGTCCGAGGACTCACTCTTCTTGTAATTACCGATACCGTTGCGTCTTCGAGGGTATGGCCCGGAGTCAGACCTCGAGTACCGCGCAGATGAAACACCACTAGACTATGTCAAGAAATGATAGCTGCCTACCGAATCCGTTGTGGTTTGGATATCGCGCCTCCTAAAGCAACCTCGGTTCGCACCCTCAACAAGCAGGGGGACGAAGCATCACCCTGCCGAACTTGGAAGCGAAGACGTACCGTGGCAAGGAATTGAGCAACAATGCCAGATATAGAGCGCTCACAATTTTATCTTCCGTTGCTCTGCAGCTCAACTTTGTTCATATTTATTTCTTACCATCCATGTTTCTTTTTTAACATAGGGACGAGTGAAAACTATCTTTTCCCATATCCTTGTGACATGGAGGTAGTAGCAATGACACGTTAAACTATATTTTTCCCTACCCTCCGGACATGGAGATAGTGACGGTGAAAGGGGGTTATTGTACATTTTTTGGTACATGTAAAGTAATGCCCGCCCGACGGTGGCTTGCCTCCTAGATGTAGTAGATGTAGATTCTGCCGTATATAATCTTGTCCACGAGCACGTTGAGATGGGAAGGTTGCTTGTTATTGCAGAAGCGGGTCTGCTACAGGTCTGAGGTGAGGCGGATTGCCCTCAACCTGGGGGCACGCAGATAGCTAAGTCCCGATGGGGTACGTCCTAAGAGGGTATACCTCCTGACGTCCCCCATCTCAATCTAGACCGATTGTGTACCTAATCTGTGCCATACAGCAACACTCCTTACCATACACCCTACTTTATTCTTTCAGTGTTCTTGGGAAAAACACTGGCGAGGAGAGAGTCTCATGACTTTGTTGCTGTAAGCATTGTTCAAGAAACCGACGGAAACCACGCGACGTGTGGATACGTTCTACGGTTTCAACAAGCGAACGACAGATCGATTTCACCGGCACCCCCCACCGGGTTTTCGTCGCTTGGCAACGACGTTGTAAAACAAGCCAATTCACTTCGTGAACTCGGCAACCAGGTTGTTACCGTTTTTTTTTTTTACCTCCGGTTTTTTTTTT